AAGAATGGGCATGGCAACAGTAGTTTACCTGAGAGGTTAAATAGTGTGTATGTTTCTCTGTTGTGTATGTTGCACTCACTCACATCTTTACTTCAACATTTCATTGAGTTCAAAAACAGCATTTAAAAACATTTTGGTACAGAGGGACTGTAGTCACATCCCGACTGTTCTTGGTTCTGCCCTCCCCCAGCAACTATAGTACAGATCATGTACTTATCTTCTGGGACCCTCTAGCACTGGGTAATTGCTGTTGGAATTTGTGTGCATTGTATGTATATTTAAACTTCTGTTTTAAAAGGGCAGAACATTCAATTCTTTTTTTAAAAAAACTTCCATTTTATGAATGTCAGATAGTTTGCTTCTTTGTTCATCACTCAAAACCCCAGAAAATGACCTGATATTTCTGCACAATGTGCTTCCCATGTATCCAGAAGGAAAAGGGATGCCAAACTTTGCATAGCAAAGGGCAGCCTGAATGTTGATGACACTAATGTCAGCAGTCAAGATGGTCTACAGGATAACTTCTTGCACTCAATACCATTCATAAAGAGACACCAAACCAAGAAAAATTCCAGAACGTGACTTCATTTTTCTTCAGTTAACCAGTTTTCACCCAAACACAAAGCAATTGTGGCTAGTTTTCAACAAATTATCTAGGTATGTATCTATTGCTTGGGGGCACAAAGTAATGTGAATTTCAGTTGAGTCCCTGCTGAAGAATTGCCTAGGTAATTCACCACTCCCTAGATTTACTACATAGGCTCACAGGGTCATTTCTGAATGCAGAACCTAAACTGCCAAGTGTTACTTCAGAAGCAGTACTCAGCTGAATTAAAGGCATGCTGAAAAATCAGGTGGCACATGCCCAATCCAGTTCCTACATTTATGCAATTTGAGATGCAATCTGCATCTATCGTGTCAGTAGCTGAATCTTACTTCGCTTCTTCAGTTTAGGAAAATATATGTTGCAGGCTATCTGCAACATAATCCTGCCAAGAATGGGAGGAACAGCAGGTTCAGATATTTGATGTCTGAATAACCAAAGTATTCAGAGTCTATTTCTTTGTCACATGCACTTTATGACATTTAAAATTTCATTTGACAATCTGTAAATAATCTGAACTGTTTAGAATATCTGATGGGTGGAAAAAGTGGTGGAAAGTCAATTTAAAGTCACAAACTGGTCATAGGATCAAACACACAAAGAGAGGATTATTTGTAAGAAACAAATACCTTTGCCTGATTATGGCAACCAAGGAACAAAATATAAACACAGATGAATGCTATCCTTTTCAATGTCCTGCCTGAGATTTTTTGCATACTTTTGTTTTTATGAGTATAAGTCTTAGGCTTTTATGAATACATTTACTAGCTGCTTAACCCTATACTATACCATGTGGAAAAGTAATAAATGCAAAAGATTTGTTTTAATACGTGGTGTAGTATTCAAATAAAAATCTTTATAACATTCTTGACTCTATAATTGCAAATCTAAATTTCAGAGCATCTGAAGGTCTCTTACGCCAAATCCTTGACATTCAGTGTTAGCAAATCTGAGATGTCTTCCAGTCCTGTTATCTGTATAGATGGGGTTACCAGGTGACATTCCCTCACCTTCTGCTTCTCTTTGCACATCAGCTCTGTCAGATACACAGCAGAATGCATGTAGTTAGGTGAATATATGAAGGCTTCAATTGGGAATGGAACCTCCAATCCTTGCTTCATGATGCAATTTAACTCCATTTTATATATTGTTGGATATTTAGCTTATTATTGGATCATTCCCCCATTCATTGTACACTCACGGCAATTCAAAATCAAGAATGAAATACAGTAATTAAAAAGAAAGAAAAATGGAAACCTGAAAACAAATTTAGTAGAACCCATATATAAAAATAAAAAAGGCATAGCCTTTGAAATAAAAGACTGGCATGAAATAAAAAAAAAGACACACATAGAGAGAAAATATCATAGAAGAATAGCTTTTTACCAAACCTCTAAAGGCACTGATGTGGAAATAAATCAATCCTTCATGAGGAAGGTGTTCATACACAGAAGACCTTGAAGGTATTGAACAAAGGTCTGAAGAGGGACTCCAAGTACATTTATTTATTCCATTTATTTGTAAATTTATTTCCTTTCAAAAGGTATCAGAAGCTAATGTCATGATAGAAGGAAGAAAAAAGACTGAATGAACATGTACACATTCATTGCATTGTCAATAGACCTTTGCATGTACATCTGGCTATCAGAAGCTAATGTCATGATAGAAGGGAAAAAAAACAGACTGAATGAACATGTACACATTCATTGTATTGTCAATAGACCTTTGCATGTACATCTGCATGTATGGAGGGTCTTTCTCCATGAGTTTACATATGAACGTTGGGGAAACAGTTCTCCTGAGTAGATAGAAAAGAACTTTCTGTTGTCATAGTGATGAAGCTACAGATTCTTCAAACAGTTCTATGGGCCTGCAATGGTTTAACTCCCCAAGAGCATTAATTGTGTTTGTATTTATAAAGTCTGATAACTTCCACTCAGCAGAATATGACTTTTATTTGAGTATACATGCATAAAAGAATGCTGTAATGTTTTGAGATCTGCAGCACTTTCTCAGTCCAGGCAATGCACAAGACTTTCCTCCTATGTTATCTGACCATCATAACTTGGAACAGTTTACTTTTTTTTAGATGGCCACTCCCAGAATCCCCCAGTCCTGGAGGATGAAGGATTCTGGTAGCTATAATCAACAAAAAGAACCTTTCTCAGTCATCTGGCTTCTTTACTAAAGCCGAGAGAGGGTGGACCTCCTCAGCGTTTGGAGTGGCCTTCCTGACACACACAGAGGGTAACACAAGACTTCTGTATGGAATTCCTGAGTATTTGGTATAAGACCAAAATGTTTTGAGTAGAATGCTTTGCTTCTTCCAAGGGAGTATACTTCCTTTTCCCTCCAGACATGGAATGTATAGAAAAATATGTGAGGGAAAGCATGTGGGGTTTCCTGTTCCATATGCAGGAATGCATATAGCGTAGCTAACAATATGGCCTGTATTTATTATGGTGAAAAGAAAATTTTGTATTACAGTGAGATTATTATAGTCATGTGGCACCACTCTTTTTTAAAAAAGGTTCTGTGCTCTTGAGGGTCTAGAGTGCTGCATGGAACAAAAGTAAGGCTTGCATTTAAACCACTCTTAACATTAAATAGGTACTGCACAGTTCCCTGAATGCTTTTCATTACTTAAAATAAAAGGCGAGGGCCTGTTCTGGAATGAGACTTCAGTGCACAGGGAGATGATATTTCCACTCCTAAGTCTATCTCTCTGTAGCACACCAGTAAGAAACAGGTTTTAAAAATAAGACAACTCTCCAAATGTGAAATGTGAAGGCGGAGTGGCTCATATGCTGAGAATAGTGGTGACTATCACTCCCTGCCTAATTTGGGACATGGGTTACTTACTGGGAGGTTATAGGGGATCATAGCTTTGGAAAGTTGTATTAAAGCTCCTTGCCCCACAGGCGAAGGTCACAGCCCGGAGCCTGCAAAAGTCAGAGTTGATTTCGTGGTACAAAACAAATTCCATAATCCATAATGAAACTGTATCTTTACTAGGGCAACAAAAAAAGGTGGAAAAACACATAGGCTTTCAAGCTAAATCAAAAGATGTTATAGAAAGTAAGTAGGGGGAATGGAAGGAGGAGTGAAATCCTGCAGTTAAGCCCTTGCTAGCAGCATGTTTTCTCAGGATGTAATGGAGGAAGGACGTTACAGGCAAATAAATAAATCCCATTAGGTAAGGCAGCAGTTTTAGATTTCACATGGGATCAGAAATGTACAGTACAGCATCTTAGATTATTTGTGTCCCCACACTGGATTCAAAGCTGAAGTCATTTAAACTGAGCACACAGGTACACAATAGGGAACACTGTCCACTCCAGAGGCAATTTTAAATGACAGATGATGTACAGTCAATCAGTGCAGATAAAGTGGGTAGTTTCACTTATTTGTCACTCTGAATATAAATGCCTCCAGAACAAAGGATAATTAGATATTCAAAAAGTGATGATGTCTGGATCAGGATCCTCATGCCTACTTCTGAGTAAAGAAATATACATACTGGCCCCAAACTATTGTTTAGTTGTGGTGAATCATACTAGAGTAGGTACACTAAATGAATGGAGATTTTATGACTCAACTCCTCTATATGTTCCATTGATTCAAATAGGCCTACTCTAACTCTGACTGACTGTGGCATAGTAACTCACAACTGGAGCAAGCCTATTTGAATCAGTGAAATTTGTGGATGAGGTGACGCATCAAATCCCCATTCATTTAATGAATCTGCTCAAGTGTATTTTTCTACACTAAGTAACAAGATTTTGTGTCTTTGGACTCTGAGAGGGATTTGTAAATTACAGATTTTGTGTTTGTTTTATTAAAACAGCCTGAAATCAAACATAAGTTTCATAATTTGCAAAATCGCTCTCAAGAGTCAAAAGACACAGTGGTCCAAGTCCTGTTACTTAGTGTAAAAAAATTGTACTATACCTAGATATTGCTAGATGCCCAGTGATGCTAATCCTTGGTACCAGCTCAAGTCTTCTCAACTCCCAGATACAGATGCAGACACAAACTCTACTTAGCACACAGCCGATAGAAACAAGATCATAAGAGAGCAGACAAATTCATTCCAATTTATTTTCGTCAAATAGCATGTTCCTGTTTAAACAGTTCTCACAGAAAAATACGGTTTCAGGGATGTTTTGAGATGTATGTAAAATGCTTCTTGGTCAATACGCTAAGCTTTTGCTGTGAACAGCCCATTGATGAGAGAAAACAGTGTGCTCCCCCCCCCCCGGCTGCCTTTTACCCCCAAATGTGAATTTGCTGCCTATTATTCAATGCTGTTTTGTTAAATTAGGGAACAGAGAGTGTTTTATTCTTTCCCAGAAATGCCCTTTCAGATTCTGTAATTGCATGTTCTGATTCTCAGGAAACAAGAGAAGATCGAAATCAGTCACGACTGGACTCCATGGTGCTGCTCATTCTGAAACTGGACCAGCTTGATCAGGATATTGAGAATGCTCTCACTTTAGGGAGCTTGCCATCATCCAGCCCACTGACACACACCCGGAGACCCATACCTGTGAGCTTGTTTGTTTACTCATATTTTATTCCAGTTGTATATTTATTGGTCCCATTCTTCCATGCTGTCTCCTTTCCTGACCTGACCCATCCTGTCCCGTTTTTTCTGACTTTCTTGCTATTATGTTGTCTGTGTTTTCAGCATGTGCACAAAAAGTAAAAGGAGTCTATTTGCCCTCCAGTTTCCTAGTTTCAAGCTTCTAATCGATTCCTTCCCTTAGCTTCCCTCTACACTCCTCCTTGACAAAACATAACAGAGGCACAAAGTTCAAAAGATATCAGGTGTCTTCCAAAGTGTCTGTTTTAAAAGGCAGTCAGACTATGTTCTGATGGAATTTAAATTGAATCTGAAAGAGAAGGTGCTGAAAACTTTCATTCCTTATGACCTTATTTCCTAAATCCATTGTTTCCAGCAGGGAACCCCTTGTGAGCTGTTTACATATTTTGTCTCTCATAAAATAATATTCTGGCAATACCAAATTGTTTTTCATGTAGGATAAAGATGTTATCCGGCAGAGCTGTATTTTGTGACATGGAAAGGGATGGGAGAGAACACAGTTTCTGTAACATTGTACTGTTTTTAAAAGTAATGTTCAAATGGTTGGGAATAAGTAGATACAACTTTTCAGGACATAGTTCATGCTTTTGCACAGCTCTTGTTCGTTGTTTGTTGGCTGGTTTTGAAATACTGTACTTGCATCACAATGCTACCTTTCAAGGAACAGCTCTCCTAAGACAGCTTATAAAGACAATTAGTCTTCTGTATGTGCAGGATAACTGGACTATAGACACGTGTAGCAGGAACCTTATGTTTCCCAATAATTGACCGTTCTAGCAGTGCTTCTAGTCAAGGTCTCTAGGGGCTCTTCATCTCCCTATCCAACCATTTCTACCCGTTCTGCCACTCCCATCCACCAATACTGCTCAAAGACCTTAATGCCTTCCCCCAGTCTGCCTCTACCTCCATCCTTGAACGATCCCTTACCCAAACTATGTTACGGAAAGCAGTCATTATAAGCTGAAATCCATTTGTGTATCAGAGGCCTGCTTCCAGGAAACCTTTGTGTTACGGTAGCGGTGAGATCATCTGCCCATCATTGCTGTGGCTGCGTGTCATCTGCCAATGGCGTGACGGGAGGTGGGACATAAGAGGGTGGAGCTAGGGTATTTAAGGGGGAGTGAATGAGGTGTGAGTCAGATAGGGTTTGAGATAGGGACTTGATGGAGTCTGGTTAGGGACTTGGGGAGTTAGGGCTTGTACATGTTGTGTAGTAC